AATTTGCTGAATATCAGGTAAGTCTTTTACTAATTATTTCCCCTTAATGGTCAGTTAACATATTGATGACACTTCTATACTGACTTGAGATTATTAGTGGTAATTAACAAGTTGTTAAGCATAATTTATTTGGGTGATTATTTTTTTATTTTTATTTTTGCAAAAACTGTTCCAGGTTTGTGTCGACTTATTTATCACTACCCAGTCATACATAGACATTGCTTCCATCTCTGTCATCCCAAGAACAACTGGAGGGCAGGTACTAATGAATTTGCCTCTATCACTTCCCATACATATGGCATGAAATTTCGACTTCTTGTCATTTTGGTTGAGGGTTTTCTCTTATGAAATTTTGTCATTTTTTCTTATTTCTAATCTACATATCCACCATCTAAAATAAATCTGTGTTGTCAGATTTGAGAAGCATCTGCCACTTGTAACTATAGATCATTTACACATGGTAGTCTAACTATTTGGGTTATCATTTCAGGTTTACTATTATTATCCCTTCTCAGCTGTCTCTGATCCTGCAAAGCTCTACAACGATCTTAGATGGAATGTCACAAGGCCTCAAGGTTTTGAGGCGGTGATGCGTGTAAGATGCAGCCAGGTAAGTTTCATTGAACAGCCTCATTCTCCTGTTTTAGCTGATGACTGGTTATCGTTCTCTCAATAGATTATTCTAGCAGGATAAGTTTGTTTTCATCATTTTCAGGGTATCCAAGTTCAAGAGTACCATGGAAGCTTTTGCAAACGTATTCCTACGGATGTTGACCTACCTGGGGTTTGTACATATTCTACAATATCCCTTACTACCAACACGTCAGACTGTTTTTTTCTTACTTATCATATATTTTCCATGGAAGTTAAAATCCCCCAACCCCTGGTTGTGTTGACCGACAATGGTAGTAAAATCAAGATTTTTTCAATCTGAAAGAAAATTAGTCTTGATGCTCAATCATAGCTCCTTTGTCTAGTTTTCAGTTTTCTGGTTTTCATTTTCCTCAGCCTCTCTCTACATATCTCCTTTCTTTTCCTTTTTCATTATGCCTTGAAAAGAGTGACAATGGCTCTTATATAAATCATGACCAATCCCTTCTGTCATGCAGATTGACTGTGACAAAACTATTATGGTGACCTTAAAACATGATGATAAATTACAGGATGGCTCAGAATGTGGTTTCCAGGTAAATTTTAATTTTTCTGCTTTCCCCTACCAAATGCAGTAGCTGTGAATATATCTTTTGATCTTTTTCTTGAATCTTTACTACTAATCTGATGACAACACCTATCTCTGCAGCTGCATGTTTCATTGTTTAGTCATATATATATATTTATTTTATTTTTATTTTTATTTTTTATATGCTTCATTATAAATTAATTATAGTATTTTTGTTATCCAGTGTGCCGTTTTATACACAACTGTGTATGGCCAACGGAGAATTCGAGTTGCGACTTTATCTCTGCCATGCACAAGTATGCTAAGTAATCTGTTCCGTGCTGCTGATTTGGACGCTCAGTTTACATGTTTCATGAAGCAAGGTATTAAATTATATGCTGTTCTTCTTTGTTGCTTTCTTTCTTTATGTTCATTTTCCCTGTTGTAATTATTGTTTTCTCAATTAAGCCCAGGCACTTAAATTTGTGAATTTTATTATGAAAACATTGTCTGTAACTTCTCTTTAATTATTCACATCTGGTAGTTTGAAATGCAGATGTATAATTCTCTTTCTTTGCGTTCCTTTTCACTTTCTGCATCCTGCCAACATATTATTTATTACGATTGCAGTTTGTTAGTACATTCTGTCTAATTGAATTTGGATGAATTCTGACAATAAGTCCTGTTTAAATATTGTGTATAGCGGCAAACGAAATCCCTTCAAGTCCCCTCTTGCGTGTACGGGAACAAGTGACAAATCTGTGCATCAGTAGTCTGCTTTCATATCGTAAATTTTGTGCTACTGTATCATCTTCTGGACAGCTTATTCTTCCGGAGGCACTCAAGCTCCTGCCTCTATACACCCTTGGTATATTATTTCTGCTTATTTAATAATAGATATGATAAAGGCTCTGTTCTGATTGATAAAATCCCAAGGGAAAGGCATGCCTCTTCCATTGTGGAAATATATTGCACAGAATCATCACTTAGGTTCTTAGAGATTTTGTACATATATTGATACATTTGATGCTCGTGTTTGTTTTTCAGCATTAATCAAAAGTACGGGGCTACGAACTGATGGAAAAATAGATGAGCGGTCCTTCTGGATCAATCATGTTTCGTCCCTTTCTGTTCCTTTGGCAGTTCCATTGGTGTACCCCAGAATGGTGGCTATTCATGACTTAGAATCAAAAAAGGTGCGTCATTTAGCTTCTTGTTCAACTCTTTGAGGTATGCATTTCATAATCACTGGTAGCTTCCATCAATGAACAGGAGGGTGATGAGTCTCTAATTCCTCCGGTGATTCCGCTTTCTAGCGAACATGTGAGTGACGAGGGAATTTATCTTCTCGAGAATGGCGAGGACTGTTTAATATATATTGGGAACTTGGTAGATTCTAGAATTTTGCAACAACTGTCTGGAATCGCCTCTGCTGATGAACTTCCTACTCAGGTAGCCTTATCATTTATCTTTTTGGTTTCTTATCTTCTGCCCGACATAATTGTAAATTACAATTGCCAACTTTTTCTCTTGGGACCTGTTTTGGTTCACTAGAATGAGAGGGCTGGATGCTTATTTCACCTTTTTTTAACGAGGCTTAATTCATTATTCATCACTATTTATTGTCTTCATATTTAAAATGTAAATGGTATATGATCTTTGAGATTTTGATAAATGAGGGTGCATGAGTTGACTTCATTCTCTTGGACTCTTTTGCGCAGTTTGTGCTACAGCGGTATGATAATCCATTATCGAAGAAGCTGAATGATGTGGTAAATGAAATACGGCGCCAGAGATGTTCCTACCTTCGGTACGACTGATTATTTTTCATTAGTGATTCCTTGTTTGCGATGAATAAATAAGTTGCAGCGTTTGAATTCAAGTTTTGATGTTTTCATCTAAAATACTAATGATTTCTAATTTGTCTTATTTTTGTGCAGCTTAAAATTATGCAAGAAAGGAGATCCATCAGGTAATGAACGAGACAACTACTATCCCTACAACTTGTCTCTTACAAAGTAGATGGTTTATATATTATTTATAGTTTTTCATTAGGTATTGAATTATCTTTCCCCGCAGGAACATTGTTTTTCTCATATATGGTCGAAGACCAGAGTCCGAATGGCCCCTCCTATGTTGAGTTTCTGGTACACGTCCATCGGCAAATACAGATAAAAATGGCGTCATAACTGCTTACGCTTCTTTGGTTTGAATTACGAGTTTTGAGCCAGCTTCTTGATAGAGTACACATGGATTCAACGGATAGAAGAAAAATTAGACGCTTGCTATACACACATACTCGGGGATCATCCCGCAAAGTATGTATACGTGAAGAGCAAGCAGAGCTGAGTTTTGCTATGATAGGTCCGTAGGAAGACACTACTGTTAATAAATACAAAGCGTATTTCTGTATTTAAGTTGCCCCCGACTCGAATTCTTTTCTCGACATCTCCCTTTTCCATTTATTTATGTAGTGTGAAAATAATCCTTATAAGGTTAATGGTGGGAGAAAGAAAAATGTATAAACAGGATGGTTGTTCTACAGAATGTTTGAACTACTTTTTATTGTTTTTATATTTTATTTTTTGGAACAAAGATTCTACTTTTGTAGTCGAGCTGGTTACCTTTTTTGTTATAAGTCGTCCAAAAGCTAGTTACTTTCCATTTGTAACATGGTTGATCACTTTCCATTGTGGAATAACACTAGAGTTTTGAGGATTTTGTAAATTCTAAGCAAATGTATGCCAGTCGTTAGTAAAAAGAAAAACCAATTCGAGTCTATAGGTAATTAAAACTAAACAAGATCCATATATAAATTCAAAGAGTGTCTGTCTTTCCGTCTAAATAACATAACTCGTGTTTAAAACTCAAATCCTCTTACTAGCATTGGTCTGGAAAGCACTTGTGCTTGCATCTTTATTGGTAACATTTTTTTTCTAGGGCTCCTGTAAAAAGTATTTGATAAGTATTTTTTTCAAAAAAAAAAAAACGATATTATTTACACTAAGAGCAACTCCACCTCTAAAAAATGCACTGGCATCCAGCCCATTTAATCTACTCAATGAACAGTGATTGACCTCAATGAATAGTAATTGACCAAATACATCTCCACCTCTAAAAAATGCGCTGGCACAAAGTCTAAAAAATGAGCTGACACAAATGCATCTCCACCCTTACAAAATGCACTGGCACCCAACCCATTTAAAATATTATTATTTTTTTTAATAAAATAATAAAAAAATTAGTTTTAATTTCAGATATGATTTTTAACCAATTTTGTCACGCTAAGTGTTATTATCTGAAAGTACTATTTTGTGGATAAATTTCGAATAAGATTTTCAATCAATCCCGACAGACCACGTGTCACTATCTGTTTACAATAATTTAGCCAAGATTTCGATCAGATTTTCAACCAATCCCAACACGCTATGTGTCACTATTTGTTTACAATAATTTAGCCAAGATTTTCAACCAATCGCGTAGTAGCACGTGACATTGTACATAACCTCATCCTTTCTTTTTTTTTTGTACATATAAACCCTACATCTATCCTCATTTATACACCAAACTCAATCCTTATTTTTTAGCTCAAAATCCTTCTTCATCTTTTTTAGCTAGGAATGTGAATTTAGCCTAACAAAACATTATTATTATTAGAAATTTTTTATTAACACTCTAAAATCTTCATTTTACACTTTAAATTTTTTATATTTAAAAAAAAAAAAACAAGGTACAAAATTAAAATTTTAAAGTTCTAGTAACACTTTCTTCTTCTTCTTCTTCTTCTTCTTCTACTTCTCCTTATTATTATTATTATTATTTTGGTGGGTCAATTATCATTAGTTGTATTATTTATTTATTTTTTCGTCAAATCATAGTATTAGAAACTTTGCAAACTTGCTCTCGGTACGCGCCATCGCCATCTTCTTCCGTAATATTAGGGTTCACAGAGAGGGGGAAAACAACTGCAATCAGTCTATTAGGGTTCGGGTTTTGGAGCTATAACCAGAACTTTCGTACCCATTTGCCTCAATTTCATCACCATGTCTTTCCTTGAAGAATTCAACGCCAGTAATCTCTCTCTCTCTCTCTCTTTCTCTCTCTCATTTTACTGTCTCAACATAACTCTCTTTGAATTTCAGCTTCAATTTGATTTTATGCAATTGAGAACCAATCAATTATATTACTTTGTCAGATAATGATTTTCTGTATCAATTAAGTGAATTGGGCTTCCATTTTTGTGTGAGATAAAATGGTTTATTTTTGTTTAATTTCAAGGTTTTAATCTTTTGTGGGAAACAAAAACTTGGTTTGGAGGTTGAAGAAAATGTTCAAAATTAACGAAAACAAACCAACACATCAAATTAACGTGAATAACAGTCTTAAACCGCACTCTTCCTCTATCTAAACATACAGCATCATGAAATTTCTTCCGAAAGACTTGGAATCCGGAGGCAGTAATGAATTGAATAACACGACTGTTATCCAAGGAACTTCAAATCTCTGGTTCTCTTATACAATTCAAAGTAATGCTTTCACTGCACATCTTCATAAAATGTCTCATTCGTTGTTTTCCAAACCCTCTGAAATCTATGCTGAAAATATGAGTGAGTGCAAATTATCCGTACAGATAGGAGAGAAACTTTTCATAGATATCTCTCCCTCATTTTCTGTTTTCACTTTCACAGATTTGGAATCTCTGCCTAATATTTTGGCTAAGAATTATTCGGTGATGCGCACTCTAGATCGAAGTTTACAAGGTATGGTCTGGCGTACTTTCTGGTTGACGATAACTTCTAATAGAATTGTCTCCCGAATTTTTCATATTTTACTTTTATTGGTGTATTCTTTTCATTAATATAGAATATGGAAGCCTGTCAAAGTAAAATGCTTTGTGGGGGTTGTCAAGTAAAATGCTGTTTCTTTTATTGGTGCACTCAATTCGGCTCTCATCTGCTTTGTGGGGGTTGTCAAGTAAATGCTGTTTCTTATGTATATGAACAGATAACCAGAGACAAAATGAACAACGCTGCGAACAAGAAATTGAGGACATAAAGCGTGAAATTAAGTCTGGGAATATTACACCTGATACTTCCCTTATTAGATTCTCAGATGAGGCTCTTGATGAGCAGAAGCACAGCGTTGGGATTGCAGACGAAAAGGTTCTTTTGGCTGTACGGGCATATGATCTGGTACATGGAGCTGCATCTTGCACTAAACATACTGCACTTGGTTGTTTTTCCAGGTTTTGGAGTTTTTTTTTATTTTTTTTATTTTTTATATTTCGCTGAATGTTTATTTAAAATTAATAATGTTCAGGTGGATACACACATACAACAACTTGATCAGTACTTGAAAACTTTTGAGGAAGAGCTGCGTGGTACTTTACTGTTATTATTTTTCCATCTTGTCAAGTCTTTGAATTTTGCAGTTTATACTATACGGTTTGTCTTTTATTTTACAGTTAAGATTGCCATATGAGGACATCATTATTTCTTCCTTAGGTATGTATTTTCCCTAATTTTGTTTGGTGAATTGGTTTATGGCAGAAAGAGATAGTGCTGCCGCGAGCGCCTTGCCTGCTCCAAATCCCGATAGTGGTGCAAAATCTGGAAAGAGTAGTGAAGGTGGTAGAGGAGGGCGTAAGAAGTATCTACCTATTCTTAATGTTTCATTTATTTATTATATTCTTTTGAGTTGATTTTCTGATTTCATGCTTCCACCTTCCTCTTAGCTAAAATTAAGCACTTCTAGAAAGCATCCATGTTTGAGTTATAGATGCTCGACACTAGAGCTCTTTTTACTGTTAACTGCGGGGTTTTGAAACTACTTTCCTGCCTTCATGTTTTGGGAATGTTTCGTTGGCATGAAATGTGAAGTATATATGTTCTCATTTTGTTCTCTCTGGAACCTAGTGATGCTTTTTTTTATTTTTTATTCCAGAACAAGACTAGCAACAGCCGCGGCAGCAGCAGCAACTGCATCTGTCAATCCTACTGCTATGGATTTAGATATACCAGTGGATCCAAATGAACCCACGTACTGTTTATGCAACCAAGTTAGCTACGGGGAGATGGTTGCATGCGAGAACCCCAATGTATGCAATTTTCCCCATTTCTATATTTTCTCTTGTTTAAAAGTCTTTTTCAACTTTATTACCTAATTTTAGTTTTTTCCAACAACAGTGCAAGATAGAGTGGTTCCATTTTGGGTGTGTTGGTCTGAAGGACAAACCAAGAGGAAAGTGGTATTGTACAGATTGTGCTGCATTGAAACCTCGCCGGAAAGGCAAATGATGATGCCGAGTACTTGTTACAGGAACCTTGTTGTAGTCAGTGATCTCAAGTCTATCGCCCCAGTGGTACTAATTGTTTTGATTTGAAATTACTGGTCTTGGAAACCATTTCTAATCACTCTCTAGTATAGGAAGTCATAGTAATTATGGACCAATAAGAATAGAGTTTTTATTTACAGTATTGATAATTAATGTTAGGAACTTCTTTCTGACTCCATGGTTTTAGGAGTACATAGAAGAATCCCTATCTTAAGACGTACTAAAAAATTTTGTCCGTGCGTTGTGCGATATTAGAAATCGTATGAAAGAGGCATAAAAGATTGCTTCCTCATTTTCTTTCTTTCCTTACCGAGGATCGTCCATGGATTTTCCAGAACACCCAAGATTTTCTTTCAGAAATTGAAATGACATGCCCCAGCCAACTTTCAAGGTTATTTTTAAGGCGAGCGATCCCAACCGCCAAACATTCATGACTAGATGGAATATAAGCTTGCAATGGTAAATTTACATACTGGAACATCCAGAATAGCACCTTTCCTACAATAAGGGCCAGCCACAAGAGGATAGGATATTGTTTATCTGAAACCCAATTCATCAAAACATAGAAGGTTGATTCCATTCCAATGGAAATCATAATACCAGAACACACCTCCGCCCGCCACTACTGACAACCAACCATTTGAGCACTGCCTTGGTTTGGTGCCTAACATGAATTGCTTTCAGCCAACCCCATTCCATTTGCCGGCACCCGTCGTCCCTGTTCTGGTAATTTAATTCACTAATTCTTTCTTTCGTTTTTTATTGTTGATAAATTTGGGGTTGTATTGATGGTTAATCCTAGTTTTAATCTTCAAAAGTTTTAATCTTTTGTTTCTTAAATTGGAAACAAAATTGATTATTGCAGATGAGTGCCAAAGTAATTGCAGATCCCACCTTTCTCCTATCTCTCATGGCCTTGTATTTGGCCGTAAGCATTGATCCAAGGACCATTGTGAAAATGGTGGGATCAATGCTTACGGCCAAATACAGAGCTATAAGAGATGGGAGAAAGGTGGGATCTACAGTGACTCTGGCACTCATATGCAATAATCAATTTAAAGAAACAAAAGATTAAAACTTTTGAAGATTAAAACTAGGATTAACCATCAATACAACCCCAATTTTATTAGCAATAAAAAAACGAAAGAAAGAATTAGTGAATTAAATTACCTGAGCAGGGACGACTGGTGCCGGGAAATGGAATGGAGTTGGCTGAAAGCGATTCATGTCGGGCACCAAACCAAGGCAGTGCTCAAATGGTAGTGGTGGACGGAGTTGTGTTACGGAATTTTGATTTCCATTGGAATGGAATCTACGTTCTATGTTTTGATGAATTGGGTTGTAGATAAACAGTATCCTATCCTCTTGTGGCTGGCCCTTATTATAGAAAAGGTACCATTCTGGATGTCCCAGTACGGAAATTTACCAATGCACGCTTATATTCCGTTTGTAATGTTCATGAATGTTTGCCTGGGATCGCTTGCCTTAAAAATAACCTTGAAAGTTGGTTGGGGAATGTGGTATTTCAATTTCTGAAAGAAAATCTTGGTGTTTTGAAAGGAAATGAAATTATGTACCCAAGAATTGACTGAAAAGTGTCAATGGGAAGAAAGCCAAGCAATAAAAAGAAGCAACTCCTTCATGGTAGACAACGGGATTCGATTAGCTAATGATAATGTGAAAACGTCAACAGTTAACTTGTAGAGAGCAGAAAACTACCTTTTACCATATATTTGGTGTGACATTGTGAGGTTTTGAATGTTGACAGCTCAACAAGAATGGTGTGCCATGCCACGTATCCCTCCTATACAGGGAAAGAAGACTAATAAGTACTATTCACATAAATAATACTAGTATATGGGCACACACAAAGTGTGAGAATTTTTTTTAATTTTGTTTTTGAAATAGGAAGAGAGTGATAGAGAATGTTGGAGTGGGAAGTTGATTTATTTATTTTTATAATTAGAGATATGTTAGGATTACATATAGGTGAGGCTTTGAAAAAGAAACAACAAAAATTGATTGTGTGACATTACATTTCTGCCCCATATTTCTTATTCATATCCTGTTTTAATTAGAAGGTTAAACTCGTAATTTCATAGGATTTTGGTTGACAATGAGTGTTTTATTAAGGGATAACTTGATATAGATCCAATTTTGTGAGCCATTAGTAGAATTAGTCCACTTCATTGAAATAGGTCCAATAATTAAGATTCCACATATGCTTATTTGTGGTTTGTACCATATTTACCCCTTATACTTACGAATTGTTATAAATACACAAAATTTCTTAATTATGGGATTATTTGTCGTTTAACTAATCCCTTAATTGTAGGATTAGTTATAGCCATATAATCACCTCAACCCTAGTTCGTTTCATCCCACCTTTTTTCCTTCTTCCAAACAATTCCCTCTATCAATCCTCCTCTTTTTTGTCTCTTCTTTTCATGGGTGATATTTTTGTGTTCTTCCCTCCAAATTCGTTCCTTTAATGGAGGTATATTATATCATATTTATATTTCTATGTTCCGCCATGTAGGTTCCTAACATTTTTCTTCCTATACAATAGGTAGTTTATTTTTGTTTTGCAGGTAGATTATATTTGCTTTGTAGGTATAAAACATTTTTCTTCCTATACAATAGGTAGGTAGTTACTAGATTATATCGGTTTTGTTTTCTTCATAAACAATAGTCAGTTACTAGATAATATTTTAGTTGGGTATTTAAATATTCAAAATTTAAAAACTGAATAAATGATAAAAAAAAATTAAAGAATTTAAATATTTTTATCTGAAAGGGCAAAATTGATATCAAAATATGTAATTGGATAACTGGACTCAGTCCCAAAAATTACCTATGTTTTTGGACCTAGATCCAAAAGCCCCTATTAATTAGTAGAGATGAATATTTTTCTCTTTTTATTCGAGCGATATTCGACCTAAATACGGGTAGGAGGGTAACACACTGCTTTACCTAAAAACGAGTATATTGCTCTAGTCATATCAGATATGTGATTGTCTAAGTTTGCAGATAGTGAGATTCTATCGTGTAAATGGTCTTTATCATCTGATATGTCATATGACGGGATAAATAGTCATAAGATGTACAAACAGTTAGACCCAAGATTTTTTTGGATTATGGTTTATCGAAATTCAAAAGGGGTCACTAGAAGCAGAAAGCTCTGTCATATTAATTTGCTAGATAGGACATAGTCACATAGCCGCTGATCCCGTAAACCCCCTTGTTAATGTCCTTTTATGTGATGTCAAGACGCTTTCTCCAAACATTATAGAACCCTTAAACGTAGGCCTGACAATTTCTGACACGATTCGATAACTCGACATGACACGATATGAAATTAACAGATGTTTGAGTTGAGACAATATCGAATTGGGTAACCTGACAAGCACCTATTAAGATAACGGATTGGTTCGGGTATACACGTAAGTAACACGATACAACGATAAACAAAATATTAATTTTATAATTTTATAACCCTAAAAAAATACTATAATAATTATATATATTAATTTAACAATTTTATACCCCTAAAAAGTAAAACTATAATAATTATATATATATATATATATTAAATTAAATATTAAAAATTGGTGATCATTGGATTGGCTTAAATATACATACCATTCAATTTCTTAAGTGTTATACGTACAAAATAAATAAATTTAAATCTACTTTATATATATATATATCATTGAACTTGATGGGATACAAAGTCTACGAAACTAATTTCAACGATCCAACCATTAAACTTGTTTGTATATGCTTCGAGATCGTATAAGCAAAAAATCGCAAAAAACAAACATTCAGAGATCAAGTAATGGGACAAAACTTTTCGACGGTTATCAACGAAAAATCACGATTTAACGGTTATTTTAACTTCGATTTTTGATATTTTTTACAGTTACACTCCTTGACCCTATATGAATACAATGTATGAATTCGATCTTCAATTTAAAATATTTACACTAATGGACTTATGTTATACTTAATGAAAGTAAAAATAAACTCTAAATTTTAGTGAATCTATCATTTTGATGGAATACGCATTCTACGAAACTAATTTCAACAATCAACCGTCAAACTTGTTTATATATGCTTCAAGATCGCATTAGCAAAAAATCGCAAAAAAAAAAAAAAACATTCAGAGATCAAGTAACAAGACAAAACTTTTCGACGGCTATCAAAGAAAAATCACGATTTAACGGTTATTTTAACTCCGATTTTGATGATTTTTTACAGTTACACTCCTTGACCCTATATGAATACAATGTATGAATTCGATCTTCAATTTAAAATATTTACACTAGTGAATACCACAAAATCTTATGCTATACTTAATGAATTTTAACTCTGATTTTGATGATTTTTTACAGCCACACTCCTTGATCCTATATGAATACAATGAATGAATTCAATCTTCAATTTAAAATATTTACACTAGTGGATACCACAAAATCTTATGTCATGATGATCAATGAAAATTGAGGATTTTGTGAAAGGAGTACCATGCAAGCTTTGAGTTCCATTGGCAAGGTTTAAACTTTTGAGAAAAGCTTCACAACCTTGAAAACAAAAACTCTTTCATTTTGCATATCCTTGCACATTTAATAGTTTTTTAATAGACTAGTAGTGTATGGATGTTTGTTTATTAGATTCTTATTTTCGAGTGTAGATGTAATACTTAAATGACAAATGTGTTTTAATGTTTTGAAGTAATATTTATGTGGCAATGTGTGGTATGTGCAAATTTAAGAAAAAAAATATATATTTTTCATAACGGGTGTGACACGACACGACCCGTTAAGATAAAAAGTGTTACACGAAAACGACACGAACACGACAGACATGACCCATTTGCCAGGCCTACTTAAATGAATAAATCTGCAAAGAATTCAACATATAATATAATTTTGGCATTTCACAGGATAGTTTGGTTCAGTTTTTTTAATTTTGTTGTGCCTTTTTGTCTACTCGCTTTTTGACAATTGATATAAAGCATGCATTCAAAATTAGTTCACAGTAGGCATGAAGTCTATACATCTATATTGTCACATCCCTATCCGGGCCCCACCACATTCTAGGCTCGACTCCACCGTAGCATAATATTGTTCGCTTTGGGCCCCGACCATGCCCTCACGGTTTTGTTTCTGGGAACTCACACTAGAACTTCATAGTGGGTCACCCATCATGGGATTGCGCTCACTACTCGCTTAACGTCGGAGTTCCTACGGAACCCGAAGCCAGTGAGCTCCCAAAAGGCTTTGTGCTAGGTAGAGATGAAAAT